TGAGTGTACACACACACACACACACACAATGGAATATGCAGCCATAAAGAAGAATAAAATTCTGCCATCTATGGCAAAATAGATAGAACTCGGGACATAATGCTAAGTGAAGAAGCCAGGCGTACACACACACACACACACACACACACACACACACACAGTAGGTACCACATGTTTTTATTTACAAGGAGCAGCTTCAAAACTCTGGCCTCACAGGAACAACAAGTAGAATAATAGTTACTAGAGACTGGGAAGAGAGTCAGGGAGGGAGAAAGGAGAAAGGATGTGGAACAGGTACAGGGGTACAGGTCGATGGGAGGAATATCTTCGAATGTTCTGAAGTTGAACATGTGAGATTTTAATGCTGCAGACCCAAAGAAATCATGAAAGTTTGAGGTGCTAGATTTGCGTGTTACTCTGATGTGACCGTTGCACATTACGTGCATTATTGGGGGGCAATGCTGTATCTTGTAAATATGCACAACCATGATGTGGCAATTCAAAATGGAAAGATATCTGCAAACAGTGACCCACCACAGACTCCTGGCATCACCCCCGCAGTGTGTGAGGGCCGGGTCTGTGTGTCTGAGAAGATCCCAGTGACTCTGGTGTGCTGTGGGAACCACGCTTGAGATCTGCCATGTGGAGCACTTGGATCTGGGTTGGAAACCAGATAATTAGCCGCTAGCACAAGACCCCAGATGAGTCTCGTACCTCTTTGCTTCAGCTTCTCCTGAGGCTGAGAGTGATCGCAGTGCCTGCAGCACAGTGTGGCTGTGTGGATTAGACAAGGTAGCCTTGCTGTGAACTTAGCATAGCTCCTGGCACAAAGAAGCTCTGAGTAAATGTCAGCCATTCCTTCAGTCGGTGCTGTGGTTTCTAAGTCCCATCCAAAACTCATGTGACATTTAATTGTCCCTGTAATGATATATGGAGCTGGGACATGTGAGAGGTGATTAGTCATGGGAGTACCATCTGCACACATAGTGCACTGGTTGGCTTTCTTGTGGCTGGGACAAAATACCCAATACCTGCAACTTGCCAAGGAAAAGTTTTACTTTGGCTTAGGGTTTCAGTGTGTTCAGTCCATGGTTGACTAGCTCCATGGCAGAAACATTATGGAGGAACGGCCATTGATCAAAGGTGCACATCTCAAGGCAACCAGGAAGGAGAGCAGGGAAGCAGTCCCAGGGAAGTGGTCAAGGGTTCAGATGGAGACCCCCAAGGCCACGCCTCCAGACTCAACCAGACACACCTGGAACTGTGCTTCACTAATCCCCTAGGCGTCTCTCATGCTAATGGACTTGACAGTCAAGACTGTCACAGAGCTCTTTAAATTGGGATCATCCTGTCTTTCCAAAGATATGTTTTCAGAGAAGGGAGATGTTACGAGGAAATAAACACGGAAGCACAATGGTGGGATAGCAAGTGGAGGCGAAGAGGGGTAGGATATTAATAGCCCTGCAGCATGCAAATAAAGGAGTAAGTGAGGTAGGAGGGAACTCCACGGATTGAGATTGGGTGTGGGTCCAACTAAGGCATCTGTTGAGCACAGTGTT